CCAGAGTAAACAACCTGTAGATGTGAAAACGCTTTAAGAAAATACTGGAATCTCCCTCACAGACACTGGAGTCCAAATAAAAGGCTGGCGTTATCTCATAGCAGACCATATTATTTATGAGATAATTCCTTTAAATAAAAACCCTCCATACGGTGCCAGCAGCACAAACACAGCTGACAGGTCCAGCTCAGCTACAGCTGCCAGTGTCAGCACACCTGTCAATCAAAACCACATTTTAAGTATTGCACAGGATAGGTTATAGAAAATATTAACAACAGGGAGTTGTTATTAAAGGGGAAATTAACTACAGAGATGAGTCTATTTTTGCACCTGGCTGTAAAAATGCTGCGTGGAAGTTTGGCATTACAGATACGGGTCATTTGAGTCACTCTCGAGTGGCCATTAAAATAGCTGATTTTGGCACTTCTACAATGGCTTTATTTGTCAGCCTGGAGCGTAAGCACTTGTTAACAACAGGTTGGAATATTAATGTTAAGCCTTTCTCTGTTAAGGACAAATATTTTGAGAAATGTTCAGCCTTCCAATCCAGTCGACAGCAGCAGATCTCAGGTTGTAGATGACATCTGTGATTTTAGTATAGACAGCGCCATATTATATCATATAATACTGTATATACTTTAGTACAGCATATACTACATTTTTATGAATTGAACTTAAATTCAGATGAAATTTGTGGTCTGGTCTATTTGAGCATCAGTTTATTAATTGTCATGCACAATAACGAGAATATTAATCTCACAAGGGGAATCTGATGAAACATCAGCATTTCATTTGGATCACCTGCGTTAGCTGTACATTAACGAATGAATGTAAGACTAGAATATGCAGCCACCGTGCAGCCCAGTATCAAAACGTGTAACAGAAACACCGTCCACCATGTCCATTTCACACTTTGCCAAAACATGGAGAAGACGTTTTTCCAGCAAGGAGAGATGATATATGTAAAGCCACGAAGCTGGTAGTGAGCTAAAAACATATTAAGTACATGCCATGGTAATTGTGAGAAATGAATAATAATAATGTGTTAATAATGTCTGTTTAAACATTTTCCTGTGATTATTTTCATGTTGGCTTGAAATAAAACGTCTCTTCTGCACGTGTGCACATTTCATGTTTGGGAGAGGCAAAGTGTGAAATGGACATGTGTGGACTGGTGTGTCTATTAAACGCTTTGCTGTGATATCAGGTTGCACCATGGCATCAGACATTGGGCATTCTGAAGCTGCAGGCTTACGTTACCATATCTGGATAAAAAGGTGAGGTGTTAGGTTATTAGTTGAACCTGGCAAGCTTGTTTAGCAAACCACATCTGTAAACCGCATGGGCACATTGCACGGGCTAATTAGCATGAAGTAAACTAGATAACTGAAGTAACATTGTGCATAGGTTGTATTAAACAGAAGTTCATGTTATATGCATATGTCAGCTAATCCCATTGAAACTGTTCTAAAAGGCGACAAATGCAGAAGAGCGCTCCAGCTTGGTGACCTGTTTGAGGCTAAAGTAAGCTAGGCTACTGGATACAACTGCTACTACTGATACCATGTTTCTGTATCCACAGACCACTTTTATAGTATTTTTTTTTTGCTGCTGCATATTTTATTAAATTGAAAATATTTAGCAAATTGGCATCTTTTTCTTCAGCCAAGTGCAACAAAACTTGTTCCTTGCACAGAGTCGGTCTCTCTCCCCCTAGAGCTCTGTGTGTCTGCAAACCTGTCAATCAAGGCAGCCTGACCTCGAACTTTACGCTGACCAGTAAAACTCCAGGATAAGTTATAAAATTTTCAGAGGTAACTTTCCATAATGGCCAAAAGCTTTTTTCTGGTTCATTTTTCAGTCCTGTATTCTGCTGCATTAGCCATAAATTATAATATGTACTTTTGACACTGTTATCATATGTTAGTAATGCTATATATATAAGACAGACAGACATTTAGAGTTCAGCGAGGGACAGAAGGCGCAGCTGCAGACTCAGAGAGCAGATGACACGGGAGTATGAGAGAGCAGGATGGCAGGACATTAGAAACCTCTGGCACCAAACTCAGTAAAGGAGAAAAAACATAAGCATATGCTGTGTGTGCAGTTTATCCTGAAGCTCATGCTTATGTAACATAGGTAGCATGTGTGCAGGAAGAAAAAACAAGTTTTTGATTTGACTTTTGGCACTTCTGTATTTGCTGTCAGACTTTTTTCTATCTATTCAACTTTCCGGTAGCCCGGTGTTTGCCACGAACACTGCCAAATTCTTGATGACAACAAGTCCCAGGGGGCACGTAAGGATCATTACTGCCTACCAAATATAGTGACAGAGAGTGAACACGAAGGGTCCTTAAAGTCATGTTGATGGATCTCCTGCAACCACCATATATAATCTGTGAGGGCTGCTGATGGAAAAGCTCTGTGGTCGTGGACATGGCCGTTACAGATTGCACCACAGTCTGCGACTCTACTCTGAGCAGCAGACTCAGAGGGAAACATTCAGAACCAACCAGAATCAGAAGGTGTTTACAGCATCCACAGTCATCAGCTGCTATTATGGCATACCATTACATTATAATGGGATATTGATGCCCACAATACACCAGCATCTACCTATTAGGTCAGCTATTGATGAAATCATAAAGCTGTAAAATTGCCTGCAGGGGCAGAAAAAACCGGATATGCGGCGCTCTCTCCCCAACATCCTCCATCCTTATTAATAAACAACATTTACCTTTTCTATATTTAAGGATTTTCCTTTTTAGTTGCACATTTCCTTTAAGCTTTCGCTTCATAAAGAAACACTTGGGCTGATGGGCACCACCAGTGTTGGTATTTCAAGCAGTCCTTTCTTCTGGTTTAAGGTAAAGCAGAGGAAGTGAAACATACAGTGTGTGTTGTGTAACACTGTTTATAACCCACCAGCAAAGTGCACCAATTTTAAATAATCAGTTTCTCATTGAAGAAATGCTAAAATATTTTAAAAACAACATAAAAATACTCGTTTTCATATATTCTGAAGATAAAAACGAAGCTCACTGGCACACAGCCAAACGAACGTGATCAAATTATAAAAGGCTCAGTGGAGGTAAAGCAGGTCAGCACTCAGATTTAAACTGTGTCACCGACAGTTACATGCCACATAAACTGCACACAACTAAATGTTATATCAGTTTTTATGTTACAGTAAGCTGATTTATACGTACTTGGTTCTGCAGACATTCCTGACTGCATGTCACAGGTCCGCCGGATGAAAAGCTTCAAAATGAAACCTGACTTTTAAAAGGCAGGATGCACGGCACAACCTGAGCCGCAGCTTCCATTATCAAAAAAGCAGGTTGGTGACTGACAAAAAACAACAAATGCACACAGATACACCTGATTACACACATCCTGTGTATCAGTGAAACCACCTTTGTTTGGTTGGGAACGTGAAGTGTTGGCTTGTCGGCTTTTTGGCTTGTCCAGCTCAATCCAAGCACGGCTGCCTTTTCGTGATGAACAATACAATGACAAAACTCACAAGCGATGTGAAACCTTTTGTGCTTTAGGCTGGAGCTTCTCTCTACGAACTCTAAACGAGGTCTCAAGAGATGCATTAAAAAAATTTACAGGTTTAAGGGACAGTGGCCACAAATGAAAGAGCAGTGAAATGAAGACTTGGGAGGATGAATGAATAAAGAAATAACTATAACTATATATAACTATAACTATATATATAACTATACCGACAGTGCACATTGTGGAGCTGACAGCTCAGCATGCAGGTGTGAACTGTGTGAGCTGTGGTGCTGGAAACGTTATTTTTGCCTTGTTACATAAAATCAAAGCTAAATCTACAGAGTAAAAGAAACTGTTGGGAGACACAGCAGCTCTTACAAGTCAAATGAGATGTAAACATCCACATCTTTTTCCTTGGCCACTGTGTTTGCTTTCTCAGCTCAGCTTTTACTCTCTGTCTCTCTGGGGTGCAGTAGTGTAGCAGCATATACATGAATTTCTCTCATGTTTTCTCCACTCTGCCAGCCCACTTGATCAAACTGCAGGAGCTCACATTAATGAAGTTAATGAGGCCAGCAGGGGGTGGCCTCATAAAAAACAATTAAATATGATGTACTATCCATTGTGTCTTTAATAAACTCTTTATCGGTTTCAATATATTTGAATAAAATTATTCAAACAGTACATTTGCATTTGCTGCCCCTTTTATAAAAAGGTGCTCTGTAGGCTGTAACTGGCCACGGCATTACATGTGAAGATTTCTGCAGTCACTCAAAGCATTTGAGCATAATCACTTATTTCAAAAGCCCACTTTAAACGTATCAGCCGCCTTGATTCAGCGTAAAACTCATAATGCTGACTTAGTAAGTGTAGGAAATGCATGATTACAAAAAAAAGAAAAACCTGGTAAACCTAAAGCTGGATACGGTTTAGCAGAGAGAGAGAGAAAGGATGTGCGGATGAATATGTGAAGGTTTTAGGTTGTTTTTCTCTTAATTTTACTCAAAACGAACACAGCTGCTGTGCGTGAAGAGGATGAGCTGCAGCTTTGAACGCTTTCACTTTTCCTTAAGCGTATTTTCCAGACTTTTGTTGTAGAACTGCTTAAGGTGCAGTAGCATGAAGACGAAAACTTAATGCAGCAAGTTACAAACGTCCAACACCGTCGTTTATTATTACTCTTTAAAAAAGTCGTTACTTGTTAGATGTAATCTGTTCCTTCTGTTTTCATTATGACACGAGAAGAAGCCAGTAACACTTCATGAGTCCTGCTGGTTGCCACTTTGGAGATGATCGCTGCAGCTGCTTTACGCGCGCTGGCTGCACCGCGCACATCGGCGGTAACCGAAGAAGCAGCGCGCGCGCCAGGAGAAAAGGAAAAAAGCGTCTCTTTTATCTCATCTTTTATTCAATTACTGCTTTCTAGCAGCCACGCAGGAGACAACACGGAGACATGAAATTAATTCGCGTTTGTCATTTGAAGTTTGAAGCCTTACCTTGAGTTGTCGCGGCTCGGAAGAAGTGCGGGTGCGCGTTTGAAGCCCCCTGTCCAAAATGGAAAGTCCTACTTGTTACTTGGGAATAAATTAATGGTTGAATAACACTTAAAATGTCTTTTAAACCAACAGAGTCAGCGAGGTGAACTGCAGCTCCTGCTCTGGCACGACTGTCTGAGAATTAGTTTGCTTGCTTCTGACTGCCGCCCTCCCTCCCACTCGCTCGCTCGCTCACTCACTGTCTCCCACCCATGAGAAATAAATAATCTTTCATCTCTCTCTCTCTCCCTCTCTCTCTCTCTCTCTATGAGCACAGCAGGTGGGCATCTTTGAATAATGTGAGATCATTTTTAAAGGCTGCTCGAGGCCCAACTGTGTGTCCCGCACTCCTCTCCAAACGCTGCGTGCTTTCACGGTTAAACAAAACTGTGCTGAGCACAAGATTTTTCTCCGGCTGTGTGTGTGTGTGTGCAGGCAGCGGATTGGGAGTGGCCGGGATTAAAACCGTGGGATTATATCTAACATTCATTTCATCTCACGCACTGGAAGTACGCTGGTGGACAATGACATCAGCCTTTGGCAGACTCAAACAAACAGATTCACGTGGGTAGGGATGGAGAGAAAGACAAGGGAAAGGAGAAAAACAGAACAATGGATGAGAAAACTAGGGAAAGAAAGCCGTTCACCTCTCAGATTGAGCCAAGAATATGAAGCTTTATAGAAAATCAATCAAAGCAAC